CTAGGCGGGCGTAGGTGGACGTGGACCTAGGCGCTCCTAGGCGGGCGCCTAGCGACTTTTAGATTAATAGTATTAATATGTGAATTTTGTTTCCAGTATGGCAAAAGCTTGAAGCGGAAAATCCGGAATTTTTCAGGGCGTATCATATGAGGCTCGTGGTGAAGGACCAGATTATACAGTTCAATCAACTGCTCGAGAGACAGTTCGAGCTAATGCACAGAGTATCTCAAACTGGAGTTGCTTCAATTTCCATGCCTAATGGATCTCATATTCACCGTATATAGCTATTCTCGCTTGATTTATGTTGTTGATGTGTGTGTGTGTGTGTGTGTGTGTGTGTGTTTCGCATTGCTTTGCTTTCTTCCATCTGGTTTATGGTTTGTGAAGTTAAGTCTGCGTTTATCTCGACAGTGCTTGAAACCGAGCAGTGTGCCTGCAGTGAATCTAATCTGTACACAAACTACGAGCTCTCCTTGCAACCATTTATGCAGTTGGGGCTCGATACGGCTGGTCATGCTGATGTGGCAATAAAATTGGAGCCCGATTATGATGATGGCTCTGTGGTGATAAAATCGGAGCCCGGTTATAAAGACAGCTCGAATTTTGTGTTTGGTTCGGATGAGAATCTTCTAGAAAGCCGCGATGCTATTGGGGAAACATCGGTCTCTCCTTTCAATGAGGATCATAATAGTCCACCGGTTTTGAGTGAGACCGTGCTGGAGCAAGAGTCGAGCTCATTTGGATTCTTGGGGCAGATACCTCGAAACTTCAGTTTGTCGGATCTGACCGCCGATTTTTCGAGTAGTAATGGTTGCTCTCTCTCTCTCTCTCTCTCTCTCTCTGGTTATAACTTGTGAGATTTGAGAGAGATTATTACATTTGACATATAATGAGTGGTGTGTTTTTACTTGATATTCTTCAGAAATACAAGAGAGTTTACTCGACCCTCGTGTGAAGGACGAACACGAAGGTTCGTTTTTTTTACATTCGATAATTTCCCAAAAATTTTACGCTCGGCTCATGATTTTATTGTTAACCTGTGAGTAGACTATAAAATGGTGGACACGAGACTGGAGTTATGAAGGATTATGGCAGTGTGAGATTGAATGTTCTCAAATTTAAGGTGGCTGCACCATATGGAGCTTGACCGGAGCATGCAAACAGGGCCCTGTTGGATCGCAGTTTCACGAACTAGAATGGGCTTTCTTGACATGGGCCCATTAGCTCAACTTCAATAGATTTTTATTGTTAACTTGCAAGTAGACTATAAGACGGTGGACACTAGACTGGAGTTATGAAGGACTTTGGCAGTGTGAGATTGAATGTGTTTAATCTTAAGGTGACTGCACTATATGGAGCTTGACTGGAGCATGCAAACAGGGCCTGGTTGGGCCGCAGTTTCACGGACGAGAATGGGCTTTCTTGGCACGGGCCCATTAGCTCAATGTTAGAATTGTCTCGTAAGGGCATGGATCGAGCTCGGTGATTAAAGAAATTTCGCGATAGATGAGCTCAGCTCGGTTTTACTCATTTTGTGTTTTGGCCTAATGGGCTCAGCTGCCACAAATCATAATCAATTGGCAGTCCTAGACTCCTAGCAAAAACCCGTTTGTATCCATTTTTTATTTCTTGTTTTTTCATATTCGAGCGAGAAATCTTTAATGTAACGTATGGTTTCGTTTTCGACAAGAGCTTTTTGCCGCGTTGATCATGCGCATTCTGGTAATTAGTGTTTTCTTGCACCTCTGAAGCATCTCAACTCAATTAGCAGCAATAAAACCATCTAATATATAAGACCAGAAGCTCAAACTTATGAAAAAAAAAAGGATGAGAAATTCAATTGTACAAAAAGCTTTTGAACAAATGTCAAATGAAGTAAAACTGAGAAAACCCATTAAATCTACAACAGAGAATGCAGAAAAAAACAGCTCATCATCATCAAGAAAAAGTCTCGGTCTGTTGATAAATCTGAAAGAAGAGCTATTTGGGCCCACTTCTCAGGGCCACATCTAAATCGGCAATCAAGTCGTTCACATCCTCGATCCCGACAGATATACGAACAAGATCTTCTGTCAAGCCTCTCGACTCTCGTACGGCTGCTGGTATACTTGCATGGGACATGAAGCAAGGCAAGCTTATGAGTGACTTCACGCTTCCTGCAAAATTTGGAAGGTTCAGCAGTAAATTTGTGCATAAGTTACAGTAACTACCTTTGGTCTAGCAAATTTCTCGACTGGTAAACTAAATATATGTCATGCTTTTGCGTAAAAAAAAATGGAATTTACCAAAACTGACTGTAATGCTGAAATACTTGGTCTTCTCTACCACATGCCTAGAGAGTGCGAGTGATCCTGTTAAGAAACTAAGCACGGAACCTGCACCTTTTGCCTGCATTTAAACAAAAGATTACAGTTC